TCCCCTTCCACTCCCTCCCTCCTTCCCTCCATCCCTTCCCTTCCCTTCCTCCCTTCCTTCCTTCTTCCTATTTTTTTGAGATAAGGTCTCATGTAATCCCAGTTTACTTTGAGCTTGCTTTGTGCCTGAGGCAGACCTTGCATTTTTGATCCTCTGGCCTCTACTTCCTGAGTGTTAGGATAATGGACATGAAGCACCAATCCTGGCTAATTGGTGGGCTCGATGCCTGCTAGGCAAGTACTCTAGCAAATGAGCTACATCTGTAGCCTGCATTCCTTTTCTGTGCAGATTAAGAATATAATATTCAAAAATATTTTTTTATTTATAAAACACTGCCTTAGAATAAATCAGCACACATCTTTTTGTAAGGTGTTCTGATAGTAGTAGAGAATTTTATATTAATTATTAGTGCCAAATGCTGTGATAGGCATATCAATTTAGATCTGACTTTTAAAAGATAATATATGGAGAAAAGAGTATATTTCTTTTTAAAAAACATTTATTCTTTATGTGTGTGTGTGTGAGCCTGTGTGACTTTATGTGCACTACGTGCATGTAGGAACCTGCTGACAGTGCTGGAACCCCTGGAACACACTACAGCAGCTGTGAGCCACCATGTGGATGCTGGGAGCTCACCCCAGGTCTTCTGTAAGAGCAACAAGTGCTGTCAACCACCGTGCCATTTCTCCAGCCCCCAGTATATTTAAATAGATGTGAAAAAATTAATAAAAAAAATAGATGTGGCTATATATTTTTCTGAAGTTGTAGTAAATTCAGTTTTGAAAGATAATTTAAATAATAAATGAATTGCTACTGTATTTAACTACAAAAGAATCTTTTGAGATTATTTCCCCAGGCCAATGCATATTTGACTTGCAATGCCGTACTCTTCTGTTTAGATGATCAGTATATCCTAAAAGTCTGTAAGAGTTTGTGTCAGTGTACCTGCTTTATAACACATACAGCTTGGTTAAGCCAAGACAGTATCATTAACAACTTAATAAAGGCTTACATAGAAGCTGATGGGAAAAGTACATAAAGTATTTCCTAGAACTGGTTCATTTAAAAAATAGCAGCTCTTAAAGTGTTAGTTTAAAACAGTCTACTAGTAAAAATTCCAAGGTCAAAACAAAACAAAACAAACACATTTAGTGTCAGAAACAAATACTCTTCTGAGAACTGGAAACTAGAAATAGGGAACATACTTTTGCAAAGTGTGCATAGGGTCAGAGGCCTGTGTCCATAGCTGTTTCCTCAGCTTTTTCTCTTTTTCTTTTCTTTCTTTTTGTCTTTCATAACCTTTGTTAACTACTTTTTCTTCTTAGAACTTGGCTTTAATTCAAATAATCCCTGCAAAGGATTCCATGTTATACATGGAACATTGTTCAGGAATATTTAACATGACATTGTTTTCACTATCATTAGAGTTTTCTGTTTGTGGCTGTGACAAAATGCTTAAAATCTCATTCTGATAAATAGTAATTGTCAGCTGATAAGATTGATTTCTTTTTTCTTTAACAGAAACTACATCTAAGCATATAAGTGACCTTGGAAATATAACATGGAGTTCCAGCTCAGATGAAGATAAGACACTTTCTAAATCACAGCGAGATGGGCATGGCTCTAGAATACACAGGTTTCATAACAGATCTACTCCATGTCCAGAAGATGGCGCCTCTGAAGGTACATTGCTAATTTTTAAGAAGTCCAGTTTTTGTTAAATATGATTTTACTGTGTTCTATCTTCTATACTAAGTCCTCTATAAACAGTTTCGTATATTTATCACGACAACTCTAAGAAATAGGTATTATTGTGACTTTTTGTTCATTTTCTTTGTTTTTTTAAAAATTTTTATTAAGTTAATATGTACGAGTGGTGGTTTTTGCCTGCGTGTATGTTGTGCAGTGCCCACAGAGGACAGAAGAAGGCATCATGTCTCCTGGAGCTGGAGTTACACATCTCTCCAGACCCTTGTTTTTCATTGTTTGAAGCAGGTTGTTGCTTTCTACTTGTGTAGTCCAGGCTGGCCTTTAACTTGCCGCACTTGGCCACTACCTCCCAAGTGCCGAGATCACAAGCACGTACCATCATACCTGGCTTTATTGTGCTGTTGTACAGTTAATCATTTAGGCTTGATTTGTTAAGACTTGATTGGGATTCCATTTTCAGTCTTTGATGTCAACGCCAGTTCTCCAGTTCCTGCACAGTGCTGCACCCGTGCTGCCTTCTGGCTAGCACTGCTATGAGAGCCAGTGTATGGCAGAATTAAATTTCTGTTGGGATGGCGTTTTAGAGTATGTCATGTTTTGGATAATTAGAATAGGGTTTCTCAACCATAGCACTTAATGCTTTCAAAATAAGCTATGGCTTTTAACTGATGGTTCATGCTAGTTACTTAGCCAAGGTTGGGTTTGGTCAGACATCTTCTCTGGAGGGTGATTTAAGTACCATCGACCACTTTGCATGCCAGTTTGTTAGCTGCCGTTGACATTTTTGTAGTCATCTGATAAAATGATGTTTTAAATTATGCATAAGTAATTCGGTCATGTTGATTGATATTCACTGTGATATAACTGTTAATCTTCACACAATTCAGGACATAGTTTCAGTATTAAAAATGTGCTTTATATGAATTATATCTCAATGAAACTGCTGTTATATATAAAAAAAACACTGTTGCCCTCTTCTATTAAAGAGATGGGATTGAAGAGATGGCTCAGTGGTTAAAAGCACATACTACTCTTCCAAAAGACCTAAGTTTGGATCCCAGCACCCCTGTTGGGCAGCTCTTAACTATCTGCAAATCCAGCTCCAAGGAATCCAAATTCCTCTTCTGGCCTCCTTAGTCCCACCTCCCCGCCCCCCAATGTAACACACACATACATATAAATAATAAGTAAATCCTAAAAAGTATTCATAAAGTTCTAAAATCCTGTTTATAAATGGAAACATGCTCTGAGCCAATTACTTAAATTATTTATTTTTATTTTATGTGTATGAGTATTTTACCTACATATATATAAATGCACCATATGTGTGCAGTGCCCGACGAGGGTGTTGGAACCCCTGGAACGGAGTTATGATTGTTAGCCACCATATGGATGCTGGGAAACAAAAACCAGATCCTCTGCAAGAGCATCCAGTGCTCTTAACTGCTGAACCATGTGTCCAGCCCCTGAGCTAATTACTTAAAATGAGTTAACTCCCAGCACTTCAGAGGCTGAGGTAAGATGGTTCCAAATTCAAGGCCAGCCTTGGTACACATGGAGTTCCATCCAAGGCTGAGTTATATATTGAGATCTAGCTTCAGAATGCCAAAAATTAGGGGCAGTGGCTAGGCATGAGGATCTAAGGTCCATCTTCAGCAGGCACATAAAAAAGCTGAGCACAGTGTATGCTTGTAATCCTAGCATTAGGGAGGCAGACATAGTGGGGTACCTGGTGCTCACTGACCAGCCAGTTAGTTTACTCAGTGAGCTCCAGCTTCAGTAAGAGATCCTGTCTTGAAAAATAAAGTTGAGAGTGATAGAGGAAGACACCTAATGTCTGGCCTCTGCACACATGGACACACACAGATATCCTCACATACACCAAAGCGAGTAAATTAAAATTTAAAATAATTGAAAATAAAATGAGTTAGCATGTAGTTGGATTTTCTTATAAAGTTAATCTTAGCTAAAATGTAAATGACTGCTTCAAGGTTTGTGGTTATGGTGTGTAGGTGCCAGACTGCCTCCTACTTCTCCTCTGTTTCTCTTTTCTCCTATTCCTTCCTTCCTTTTTTTAAAACCTTTACTAGATGATAGATACTACTGTTGATCCAGACTTTATTGTGCCTAAAATGCTAAGCTGGATATTAAGATGCCATTTCCTTTTACAGTTACTGTATCCCATGAGCTAAGAAGTATCCTCATTTTATTAAAAGAAAATTGGGACTTAGAAAAGTCAGACACTTGCACATTAATAAGAGCTCCAGTTGATAATTCAGACCTAGTGATGTCTAGCTTCAATGCTGTGTGCTGTTGCAAAGCCTAGCTTTGTAGCAGAATTACCTTTAAAAACAGTGTCCAAGAACTAGGATTAGAGTGTCTTGGTTATAAGGTCCAGGATTGGGTTTAAGAAGGAAGAACTCAATGGGGCTGGAGAGATGGCTCAGCGGTTAAGAACACTGGTTGTTTTTGCAGAAGACCCGGGTTCAAATTCCAGCACCCACATGGCAGCCAACAACTGTCCGTAGCTCCAGTCCCAGGGGATCCGATAGCCTCTTCTGACCTCCACGGGCATTGCACCACATGGGTGCACTTACCTACATGCAGGCAATACACGCGTACACATAAAATAAAAAGAGTAAATAAAATTAAAAAAAAATTTTTTTAAAAAGAACTCAAAGTGAAATTTATCAAAAAAATTTTTTTTTAAAAAATTACCCTTCCAGGAACTGAAGGCATAGTTCAGTTGGTGAACTAGACTTGAGTGCCATACCTAGAACTTACATTTTTAAAAAGCCAGGCATGGTGGTGTACACTTGTAATCCCAGCACTGGGGAGGTAGAGATGAGCAGATTCCTGGGTCTTGATGGGCAGATCCCTGGGCTCCCTTGCTAGAGTGTGCAGTGCCAGTAGCAGCTCTGAGTGCAGCTGTGCTCATTCTTGGGCTCGGCATGATCTCCCGCTGTGGTGGTTTAGCAGCCTGGAGGATCTGTCATGTAATTCCTCACCTGGCTTCATGTCTAAATGTGAACTGAGGTACAAGGAGCAAAGGCTGAGATGCATCTGCTTCTCTCAGCACTGGCCTAACCTCTATCTAGTTTTTTTGTGATCACTACAATTGCCTTTTACTGTATCTTCTCAAACCTTAGACTGAAAAAAAGAGCTAAATACATTATTTTATCTTTATGTGTATGTGTGAGTGCCTACATGTATGTATGTGTACCACATGTGTGACTGGTGCCCTTCTGAGAGGGCACTGGATTGCCTGGAACTTGAGTTATAGGTGGTTGTGAGCTGCCACTTGGGTGCTTTGAACCAAACCTGGGTCCCCTACAAGAACAGCAAGCACTTTTAACTGCTGAGCCATCTCTTCTGTCCTACATCCCATATTTTAAATTTAGTTTATTTATTCTACCTTTAAAAAAATTTTTAAATTCTTGTCAGGTACTAAAATGAGTACATTTTTTATAAATTACTTCACTTTACTGGAGGAGAGTTGGCATATTGAGACTTAATTTTTAATAACTGCTTTTAGTTATTTAGGCATAGCGCATTGGAATTGGCATATTTAGTCATGTGATACAGAAACAATTTAGTGTTCTGTCCTAAAATTTTGCTGAAGTAGTTTTGAGACAGGGCTTACAAGGTAAAATAGAAATAAATATACTTTGCTTTCTTATTCATGAAGGAATTCTAGAAAAAACTATTGGATGAAGGCATTTGAAGAAATTATTTTTAACAATGGACTATTTAAATAAACTTTAGATCATAGATACAATAGAATACTAAATTACAGAGAAGAATGAAGGTACCCCCTCCTTGTTGATAAGGAATAATCTCTTAATTACTGTAAGTGAAAAATCAAGATGTATAAGAAAGTAAGAAATAATATATATCTTATTTTCTTGAACATAGTGGATATTTCAAATCCTACAGTTTTCAAAACCTTATGAAACTTCTTCTTTGTACTCATCATATAATATTCTTGAGAAATGAGAAATAAAGGACCTGCCTCATTTATTTCTTCCTAGTTCTGTCCTTTCATGTAAATGTCATATGCTGGTGGTGGTGGTGACAGTCAGTGCAAAGTACCCTCTGTGGGGCCAGCCTCCGTGGCTCAGGCAGCTCTTCTCTGTAGACTTCTGTCCTGGAAGGTGCTGCTTGCTCATGGATAGAGCGATATGATATCCCCCACTGAACTTGAACCAAAGCTAATCTGATTTTGAAACTGTGCACTTATTAGATTTCCACATGGACGTTTACAGTGTCACCTGAGTTCCTTTTTTTTTTTTTTTTTTTTTTTAATTTTAAAATTTTTTTTTTGGGAGAAATGGCTCAGCAGTTAAAAACACTGGTTGTTCTTGCTGGGTTCAAATCCCAGCACCCACATGGCAGCTAACAACTGTCCGTAACTCCAGTCCCAGGGGGATCCGACAGCCTCTTTGACTTCTGCAGGCATTCCATGACATGGGTGCACTTACCTACATGCAGGCAATACACGCATACACATAAGATAAAAATAATAAAATTAAGAAAAATTCTTTTCTTTGACAACTTTGTACATGTGTGTATCTTTCTTTAAGAATTTTGTACATGTGTGTATTTTTCTTTGACAACTTTGTACATGTGTGTATCTTTCTTTGACAACTTTGTACATGTGTGTATCTTTCTTTGACAACTTTGTACATGTGTGTATTTTTCTTTGACAACTTTGTATATGTGTGTGTCTTTCTTTGACAACTTTGTACGTGTGTGTGTCTTTCTTTGACAACTTTGTATGTGTGTGTGTCTTTCTTTGACAACTTTGTACATGTGTGTGTCTTTCTTTGACAACTTTGTACATGTGTATATTTTTCTTTGACAAATTTGTACATGTGTGTGTCTTTCTTTGACAACTTTGTACATGTGTGTATTTTGACTATAGTAACCCCCACTGTCTTCTCTTATTCCCCCTCCCACTTCCTCTCAACCCTTTCTTAATAAATCCTTCCCAATAATTCAACAAAAAAAGAATTCAAAAACAGTGAATAAAAGTAGTTAACTTGGACTTGGGGTGGGGGTGAGTTGGGAGAAACAGTGGCTGCAGATGGGAGCTGGGGTTCTTCACTGTCTGTATACTTTTAACAATCAGTGTCATGGATATATTAACCACTGAGAATAAAATAAATTTTATAAAGTTAGTATTAAGGGGATAGAAAATTTAAAAAGTTAAAAATGTATTTGTAGATGAATTACAGTTTATTGACTGGGAGAGTAGCAGTGACAGTGAAGATGCTGGTGAATACAGTGAATGTGAAGGCGGTGAGGGAACCATGGACATCTCAGATTGTGCTTCTTGTGCAAGTAGTGATGGCAGGCTACATCAGCTTCAGGTAAGAATGTGTTATTTAAAACTTTATTCTCTTTATAACATTTGGTAATTGTAGCATTTTGGTGCTTTTAATCTCAGCCCTATCTTTTCAGAGACAGTCCCTTTTAACTCTTGGTGGATCATTTTAGTCTTAACTCCCCAAGTTAACAGGCTTGTGCCCCAGTGAGCTCCTTTGTATCCGCTTTCTAGCCCTTAAGCTGTCCTTGTATTCTCCAGTGTAGATATCAAGATGTGTGACTAGTATTCAACATTTTCATGATTGTGAATCAGTATTGATGGCACAGAGGTGGCTGATTTTTTTTTTTTATTTCACAGCTTTTCTTCTTTTCCTTGGATTTAGTAAATTACTTTGCTTTCTTATTTATCCAACTTAGCACTAATGATTCTTGATTTGTCACTGTTGTTTAGCCCCGTTTAAGCTTTTTAGACATAACAAGCATTATCAATTTTGTTTTCTTAGTGAATTCTAGCTTATAACCTCCTAGCCCCTCCAATTTGAATACAATGCTTTTTCTAGCTGTGGATGTTGTCCCCTGGGGGACTTTTTCATAGCTTTAACTAAACTACCCAAGAAAACAACTTAAGGGAAGAAGGATTTATCTTGACTCACTGTCTCCAAAGGTTTGGTCCATAATTGCATGGCCTCATGTGCTTGGGCAGAATGCCATATGGTAGAAGAATTGGGGGGAGGTACTTCACATAGTGACAGGAAGAACCAGAGAGGACTGGGGACCAGGTGTGACCTTCAGACACATACCTGTCTCCTGCTTCTTTCAGCTGGTCTCCACCTCTAAAATCTCCTGAAACACTGTGACCAGAGAAGCCAAGCACACATTCAGCATACAAGCCTGTGTTCTCTGTGGAGAGCTTTCCTTCCTGTTCAGGTCCCATCGCCATCTTTCCAGAAGCTTATTTAGTCTAGCCTGCATTTAGCGTTTCCATCATTTCCACCTTCATTCTGATTGGATGTCTTTTCTCAGTTGTCTCTGAGAAAAGAGTCATAGAAGATAATTGTTTTTATCAGCTGTGTGTGGTGACAGTGTCTGTAGTCCCAGCACTGGGGAGGTTGAGACAGGAGGATCATGAGTTTAAGACCAATTTGGACTACATAGCCTCAGAAAGAAGAGAGAGATTTTATAATACATTGATGTGACCAAAAAGCTGTATATACTTTTAGATTGAAAATGGATTTCCTTCAAAGATTTGAAAGCATTGCTTCATTATCTTTTAACTTGTGCCTGAAGTATTCTCATTCTTGATATTTTAAGATTTTTTTTTTATTATTGCCAGTTTTAAGCAATTTGATTGTTATTTGCCTTGATATGGTATTCTGTTCAGTATTTGTCAAGATTCTGGTGAATGCAATGAATGTGCTTTATGGAGTCCTCAGGATCAACAGATCAATATTTGTTATTCATCTTTTGTTGGTTCAGGAGAGGTACATGCTGATGGTCTGTGAATACCAGGCAAATAATATACCACTGAGCTATATCCCCTTTAATCGTTTTTTATAGCAGTTATTTCAGCAAATATTAGGTAATAGTTTGTTGAGATTAAAAAAATATTTATTTTATTATTTATTTATGTTTGTGTGTGTCTTTGTGTATATATGGATGTATGTGCACCCACAGAAGCCAGAGGAGGGTATCAGATCTCCTGGAACTAGAGTTAGAGGTGGCTGTGAGCTGCCTGATATGGGTGCTAGGAACTGAGCTCTGGTTCTGTGAAAGAGCAGCGAGTGCTCCTAACCTCTGAGGCATTTCTCTAGCTCATTACTGGGATTTTAATTTGCACTTCTTTGAAGACTACTGTTGATTTGCATTTTTCATTTGTGTTGATCACTTATATGACTTCTTAGATTAAGGTTTCTCAACAACAACGAAAAACACTGAAAAGCACAACTACTCTCTGACCCTGCAAGCATACTTCTGGGTATATATTCTAAAGGAATTGAATCAGTATGAGGAAGAGATAACTTCCCTCCATATTCATTGCAGGATTATTCATCATAGCCAAGATAGGGAAGCAGCCCAGAGTCTAAACCTGAATGAATGGATAAATAAAATGTATTGTATATATGTAATGAATTGTTCATCTTTTAAAAAGAAGAAAATTATCAATAGCAGCATTGAAGAGCTTGGAGGACACTCTCCTTGCTGAAATAAATTAGGTGCACAAAGGCCAAATAGATTTTGTACCTTATTTGAGATGTTTCAGATGAAAGTATTTTGGATTTCAGATTGTTTTTATTTTGGATATTTGCATACATATAATGAGTTATCTCAGGTATGGGACCAGAGTCGAAACATGAAATTCATTTATATTTGGCATGTAACTTCATACATAAAGTCTGAAGATAATTTAATGTACTTGTCTCTTGACTGTAGTCTAGTGCATGAGGCCAGGTATGATGGAATTTATGACTTGGGGTGTCTTATCAGGACTCAGAAGATTTTGGAATCTATAGTTTTGAATTAGGGGTATTTGACTTGAATTCTTATGGGACAGTTTGGGAAGGAACACTATTAACATGCTTTCAGCTCACTAACCCACTCCATTCTTGAGAGGGCTTGCCTTTTCTTTTCTTTGTTTTTTTGAGCTGACCTGGAACTCACTATGTAGACCAGCTGTCTTCAGACTCACAGAGAGCCACCTGCCTCTACCTCCTGAGTGCTGAGGTTAGGGCGTATGCCACCACACCCAGCTTGATGTTCTCAAAGTGTTTGGTAGAATTCACCATGGAAGCCATCAAGTCCCAGGCTTTTCTTTAATGGTGTATTATTCTTTTTTAAATGACTGAATCATTTTCCTCATTGATCTGTATATGCTTTCTGTTTCTCTGTGATTCAATGTTGATAGGTTGTCTACTTTTTAGGAATTTATCCATTTCATCTAGGTTACCTAGTGGGTTGGTGTGCAGTTGTTTATAGTAGTCACTTATGTTCCTTCCTATTTATGTGGTATCAGTTGTAATGGCCTTTGAGTCTCTTTTTCCTTAGTCTTTCCTTTTCCTTAGTTCATTAAAAAAATATTTTCAAAGAAAAGCAATTCTTCTTCTGGTTGATCCTCTATTATTTTTCTAGTCTATTTATTTCTACCCTGATATTTATATTTTATTCCTTCTATTCACCTTGGGCTTAGTTTTTTTCTTCCTTTAGTTCTCTGATATACAGCATTTGAAATATTTCTTTTTTCTTTGTTTTGTTTTGTTTTGTTTTGTAGGATCAGATCCAGAGCCACCTGTGTGCTAGACAATGCTCTATCATTGAGCCTGCTTTCCAGCCTCATCTTACTGCTGCCTTACAACCTGGTTTTCCTTTTTTAAAAAACATGGTCTCCCTAGTCCCAGCCCAGCTGGAACTCACTATGTGAACCAGGCTGACCTTGAACTCATAGAGATCCTGCCTCTGCCTCCTGAGGGCTGGGATTAAAGATTAAAGGCACTCCCGGACACACCTGGCATTACATTTTTTTTTTTTAAGGTTCATTTGTTTTGTTTTGTTGACACAGGATCTCAGTGGTCTGGGACTTGCTATATAGCCCAGGCTGACCTCAAATTTCCAATTTTCTTGCATTTGTATCCTTGATTATAGGCATAACTATAACCTGGCACCTGGCAGTGACTGTTCCTTTTCTTCCCCTTATGGTCCCTCTTCCCTTTCCTCCCCTCCTGTTCTTATTTTTTTCTTCTTCTTCTCCATCATGTTTACAGGATCTCACTGTATCCCATGCTGGCCTTGAAATTCAGTCTTGCTGCTTAGTGCTGGGATTACCACAACAATCAGCCTTTTCTTTCTCCCTCCCTCCCTCCATATTTATTTTTGCATTCATTTATTCTTTGTGGTATGTTTAGAGGGATGGATGTGCTCATACATGGTGTTTGTATGGTGGTCAGAGGACAACTTTTGGGAGTGTGGTTCTATCATAACACCATGTGGGCTCTGAGGACTGAACCCAGGTCCTCAGACTTGGCAGCAAGCGCCTTACCCTCTGAGCCATCTCACTGGCCTCCTTTCTCTTTTGGTATGTGTATTTACTGGTATAAACTTCCCTATTAGAGAAAGTAGGGGTTTTTGTTTCTACATCTCATAAATTTTATGTTTCCATTTTTTGTCCCAAGAGATTTTCTTTTGATCTATTTCCTTTGTCCCAGAACTCTGCTGTTTAATTCTTACATATTTATGACTTTTCTCTAATTTTTTTCCTGTTTTTGATTTCTACTTTCAACCCATTATGGTAAAAAACAAACAAAAAATATACTTGATAGGATTTCAGTCTTGCAGTTGTTAAAACTTCTTTTGCGATCTAACATATGAGCTATACTGGGCCATGTCCTCTATGAACTTGAGAATGTGTTTTCTATTGTATAAAGTATTGTTTTATTTCAGTGTCTCCTTATTAATTTTATATCTGCATTAAGTGTTTTGAGTATTCAACCTGCAGACCACATGCATTTCAGAATAGCCATGAAGGTGGCCTAACACATTTATCATGGCATTGTATTGCAATGTCAAAGGTTGGGCACCTCTAATTCACACCTAATTCTGGTTGACCTGAAAATGGGTATTAAAGAACCTTACTAATTGTATTACAGTCAATCTCTTCCTTCAGATATATTAATATTTGCTTTACATGTTTAGGTGATCTGATGTTGAGTGCATCGGTATTTGAAATTATAAATTGTCTTTGTTGACTGACCCTCTTTATTACATAAGGAATTTGTCTGTTTGAAACAGTTTATGGCTTAATGTTTATTTAATCCTCTCTAAGTCTAGCTACTTCTGCTTTCTTTTGGTTTCTTTTTGTATTAAATATCTTTTTCCATCTTTTACTTTCATTCAAAACGTATCTTTAATCATATAATGATTGGTACAGCATTTGGTGGGTCTTACTTCTTTTTAAAAATCCATTTAGCTACTCTGTCTTTTAAGTTTTATTTGTGTGTGTGTGTGTGTGTGTGTGTGTGTGTGTGTATTTGTAGAAAATGCAGTTGTGTGCATG